TGAATGCTCAAAACTAATCATCAACCGTTAAACGTATTAAAGTGAGTAATGTATTTTACTACTTCAAGAAGCCCTTTGAGCTTGATTTGATTAGCAGTGTTTTGAATCATTAAGAGTTGAATAATCCAAATTCTTCATAGTGCACTGAGGAAACGCTGTCACATTGACAGCACCCAGCTGTAAAAGGTTATTCCTGGCAATTGTGTCTTTGCTGTAACACCAGAGATGGTTTTCCTTTTGTATCTGCTGTGCTCAATGTTCAGACAAGGTGAAAAGCTTCTACAGGTGTTTCAATTATAAGAACTTTTGAATCATATAGTCCATCTAGTCTGTCAATGATATGTTGTTCCAATATAAAGATTTCATATATAAATTTCACTGTGTTATGAGATTCTAGGAGCCTGTCTGTAGGTATTTGGGTGCAAGATAAAAAGGTAGAAGTGCAGGTATATGTTCCTTGATTTGTAATGCTTTAATGGGTGTTTACTATAAGTGGCAGTACTGAGGGCTATTCCACAATCTGTTAACAACCTGTTTGGTTTTACATTAGCTTTTTGTAACATGACAGTGCAAGATACAATACGATCACTAACCTATGAAGGGAGTTAATTGCTGCAATTCATGTGATTTATATTTTCTTAGAAGGAAAGCATTCAAATTATGACAGTGACCCAAGCCCATGGGATACTTAAAACGGACTGCCAAGGCCAGAATTCAACTAAAACAATTAGCAAAAATAAACTGGGTGTTGTCAGATGCTACAGAGTCAGAAATAAGTGGAGTGCTAGTTGTTGCTCATCTCCCAGTTCATCAGTCCTTATGTACTGTTTTACTCTCCAAATGAAACGTGTACTAAAGCAATAACACATAGTCTCGAGGACCCGTGCCAGCACCTGGACTCTGAAAAGCAAGTGCTGTGACATGGTCCTCTTATGTGAGTGCAATGCCTGCAGGCATGTCAGCCCTGGGTAGGGTGAGCCCACCAAGTGTGGCACTTTACTTGCAAACTGCATAAGGATCCAGGGTGCTTTTTTTCCTTGAAGGTCTCTTTTAGGGGGTTTCCTAACACAATGTACACATTAATTCAATTAAAATGTCCAGATAGAAAAAAAAATTGTACCACAGGTCACATGTTCATTATCTTAATGTTTTCTGGGATATCCTATTTTAACTCTTAATCTGTTGTGATACCAGCTCTGAAGTGCTGTTTTAATCTCAGATTAACCTCAAGAAGATATACAGGTGGTAAACAACTATTTTTTCTGCACCTCTTGAAGTCTTCAAACTCACCTTCAGTTACCTAAAGGATGAGAGATATATTGAGGTGATGGAAGTTTGTCATGATGTAAGAAGTCATTCAAAGAACTTTGAATTACATAACGAGAAAAATAGTTTTAAATTTATTATTGTCTTTTTTTTTTTTAACTAGGTTTTGACACTCTCTACAGTTTATCCAAAGATACAAGAAGATTTTAGAAAATGCACCAGCAGCAATCAAACCCTAAAAATAAGATCTTAATACAAAATGTTTAGCTATTAGAGATGTCAGTAAACACTAGATATATACAAAAAAAGTTGAGTAAATATGAATTTTAGACTTTTTAATTAACATAAAATTAACGTTTTCACTTTTTAAAGAACGACATGGGGTGACAGCTGTTTAAGAAAAGACTAAGATTACTCAGACATGAACACTAAAGTCTGTACATGTTCAACAAGGGAGAGCTTTAGGTTCACCAGCAGGGGACATTGCATTTATCAGAGCTGTATTATAAAGATGGTTCAATTTCAAAGACAGTGAATATCAGACCCTCTCTCTTGCATCCGCTTACATTATTTGCTCAGGCTGAAATAACCCTGAAGTGGCAGTAATTTGGATTTATCAATTTTAAACATCTTTTGCCTGCCTGGATGGTGCAGACAGGTTTTAAATAAAACCGGTAAGACTGTCACATGCAGTAGTCTGTGTCAAGGACATGACAAGATCTGCCATCTCCAGCAGCCTCCAGGACCAGGTTTTCTCCTGCCCAGCTGCTGGACCCCAGTCTGGTGTGACCTCAGTGGGAACACTGGGCCCTCATACCTGCTCTATGATCTCCTACTTCCCGTCTAGTCCAGCTTACTTGTCCTGCCCAGCCCTCTTGAGTACCCTAGTCCTCAAATTCATCTTCGTTTTCCTTCTTATCAGTAACACCATCCAGATTAGCTCTCTCCAAAGCTCAGCCTGTAGTTCCATCTGTTATGGTCTGGAGATTTTTGGTCTTCATCATCATCTTAATTATCCCTTGTCTACCAGGTTTGTGTCTCTGTGTTTTGTTTACCCCTTTCCCTTTTTCTTGTTATCCCCTCTGAACTAAAAAGGTCCTTGATCTTATAACTTTAATGAAGATACTCTTACATTACATGTACCCTCAAGAGTCTGTGTACCAAACTTCTTTAAAAATCACTTTTAGAGTAGAGTTTATGTGTGCATTATAATTTACCCACACCTCAGATGCCTAATAAATTTATCAGGTAGCATTTTTCAGGTATGTGTACATCACAGCGTCTACTGACTCTAGTGCTACTCAGTCACTTGCCCTTTCCATCTATCATCATCACATGAAACATCAGTAAATATGGGTTGTGTGTGTATGTCATGAGACCAACCTTAAATTTAATAAACATTTTTATCATTAAAGTGAATATACAGTCATTACCTCATGTCGTTTTACATTTCCAGTGTTGAAATGTGAAGTTTCTTCACTTATTATTTTTATGTTTCCTTCTTCCTGAGAATTTCTTTCAAGTCAGATATATTTTAGATGAATGTTCAAAGATACGCTTCTGGATATGGTGTGGTCTGACAAATTACTCATTTCATATCATGCTTACCTTTTTACAGCTCAGTAGTACTCATACTGAAATGAAGACTTCATCTTGTAGCAATAAAAAGAGGAGGACTGAAGTCATTTGTCCCTTTATCCTCATTTATTGATGATTAAGGACACTGTAGTATAATTAAGAACTGTACATTAGATTAATGCTTTGTCAGTATTTTCAGGATAGTGTATCCATAGACTTTTTAACTTATATAACAGAAGGTTTTCTGCTCATGTTGTCCTAACTTGGTGCCAAATGAGTATAAGCTAGGAATATTTATGGATTTATTAGCATGTCGATCAACTCAACCTCAGATATGAAGGAGAAGGAATATAAAGACAAAATGATGAAAAATGTAATACTTTTTGTGCATTGGAAGGAATCTTCTCTTGTCCTACTAAATACTTTTAAAACTATCTCTGTTGAGAAGGGGAACGTGATTTACATTAGCGCATACTTAACAATGTGCTTAATACTGTCCTGAATGTAGATATTGAATTGCTGCTATACAGAAGAAAGGAAACCTTGGCATTTGCACTGCAAAAATAAAACTGAGGCTTTCATTTCTAGAGACATAATAAATAAAGATATATGCAGCTGAACTTTGTCATGCCAAAGATACATCTAGCCAGTAGCCTAGTGACAATGGCAAATAGCAGATGCTTAGGAAAAGCATGTAAGAGCAGAGCAGACATAAAGCTGCACAGTAAACCCTCCCGATGTCTGGAAGTCAGTTTGTGCTTTAGGGCCTCCCTGAAAGATGACTATATCCTCATCTTTGTGTTCAGTAGCTCCCAATGGATCTCATCAAGTTCACCCAAATCTCCTTATTTAATCGTACAGTCCTGGAATCTTTTCCCACCATCCATCCAATTCCTCTCTACAACCTCCCTTATCCTTTCCATCACTCCTAAAATAATCTACTCACTCAGAAAATGCTGATGTCATCAAAATATTTAATTCTGATGCTCTGCGAGCAAGGACAAAAAGTCTATATACTGATTAACTAAACAGTGCCAGAGCACTAGTTAACTAAACAGTGCTAGAACACCAACTCAGACATTGTCCTGCTTTTTCTGTACAGCTAAATGTTAGCACAGTCTAACATAACACTGCTTTGCACCAGCCCATGCTCCTCACAGCAACTTTCATGTATAGTTTGGAAAGTTAATATGGATGAGAGATGTTCTCTCAAACCATGTTCCATAGACAGCGTGGATGAGACCTCTCTGGTTTTATAAAAGAGTTTTGCCATATGGACACAAACAGGGCCACCTGAGTTGTCTTTGTGGTGTGAATGATGTCCCATTTTGATTACTGGTAAAGACTTGAAGCACAGAAATTCATTTTTTTTGGCTACACTTGTGAGAAACCCTAAGGCAGTTCTGGCTTGAGATGGTCCTTCAGAGAGGAAGAGTCCTGGAGTCCAATTCCAGGACTGTTCATGGTCTGAAACAAATTTCATAGCCCCAGGAGGGTTATGGGCCTCTGAGATTTATCAGTAGGTGAGATGTTGTGTTTTGGATGGCAGCTGTAGACTTTGGCATCTCAAGCCAAGCTTCACAATTGGAGCTCCATGGTAATGCTGCGGTACCAAAAACTAATGAGCCTTCTCATTGCCATTAATGCCAATCTCCATGTTTTTTCTTTTCCTTCCTTTACAGTTAAAGTTCTAACTCATAAATTGAGTTTTTCACCCTGACAAGTGCTTGTACATGGAACAGCTTCCCAGTCCCAATGCTCAAACTCCTTTCTCTCCATTCACGTATGTCGCTTAGCTTCACCTCTTCCACGAACCATATATGTAGAGCCCAGACAAAAATACAGACAGTCCCTTAAGATCTCTATGCTAAAACAATGCCTGAAGTGGAAGAATTCTGAAAGCAGCTGTAATTCATCATTCTCAGTGTAATTTATTTCTCCTTTGGGCATTACAACACAGCCCAACATTAAAGCCACTCAACTGCAAAATTATTATGATACCATGAGCATTGCTGTAGAGCACAGATTATGGACAACTACTCAAGCTAAACGGCATGATGGCAAAAGGACAATAAACAAACAACAGTGTTCTACAACTGAATTATGTGTAGGAAATATATAAAGTCTTTGGAAAAAAAATAAACTAGCAATAGAAAATGAGTGAGTCTGCCAGGTCTAACAAGGATGATGAATGTAGTGAAAGTGAGTGAAGAGACTGTTTGGCTAGGAGGCCACTTTCTGACCTCCTGGCCAAAACTAACTGAAACTAAAAATGATCTATGATGTAAGGAGGAAAAAAGTGTTCAGTGACTTAAAGAAGGTCTTGGTGCTGAAATATCACACTGAACTTTTTATGGCTTCCAGTGAAATAAAAGGGATTTGTTAAAGAAGACTGTTGGGACTATATGGGAAAGGTCCTGGTTCTACTGTGTCCATTTCATGGACAGTGGATCCCATTGGCATTCCTGGGTGGATGATCCTTGCTATCCTCTCTAGTTAATTTCCTTAATGCTTCTAATTTTACTTGACAAATGGTCTGTGGCTGCAGTTCAAGTTGAAGATGAGCTTTACTTCGCACCCGTTGATGGCCTGTGTGTTGCAAGAGGATTTCCCCTGTTCATAGAAACAAGCCTCTGGATTTCTGCTAGCTACAGGCATTTCTTGTTTTCTTCCTCACTGGACATGTAAAGCGGGAATGTATTTTACATTCAACTGGAGAACTTATGCATCTGCTATGCCCCTGGATAGATGCCTTAAACCATTAAAGAGATGTGAATCATGATGCTCCACAAGTATAAAATGGTTAGGGGACTGCAGTTAACAGGGATATAAAAAAGCAAAACATACTTCCCCCTAGAATAAAGTTATCCATTACAAAGGCTTCTACATTTTCTTCTGAAGTGCTCCATCAAGGCCACTGTCAAAGATGGGATGCAGATATTAGTAATATTACCTGGTGCCTTCTCTACCTACTGCCTGTCCCAGGATGCTGGAAAGCAGCTTGGCAGAAAAGGACCTGGGGGTCCTGGTGGACACCAAATCAAATATGAGCCAGCAGTCTGCCCTTGCCACAAAGAAGGCAAAAGGTATCCTGAGCTGCATAAGGCAAAGCATGACCAGCAAGGGAGGTGATCATTCCCCTCAGCACTGGAGAAGCTATGCCTAGAGTACGGGGTCCAATTCTGGGCTCCCTGGTACCAAACAGACATGAACATACTGGAGAGAGTCCAGCAAAGGGCCACAAAGATGATGAAGGGACTGGAGCACCTCTCCTATGAGGAATGGCTGAGAGAGCTGAGACTGTTCAGCCTGGAGAAGGGGAAGATCAGGGAGGATCTAATCAATGTGTATAAATACCTGAAGGGAGGGTGCAAAGAGGATGGAGTCAGGCATCAGTGATGCCAAGTGACTGGGCCAGAGGCGGTGAGCACAAACTGAAACATAGATAGTTCCCTCTGAACATGAAGAAACATTTTTCTACTGTGAGGGTGCCTGAGCACTGGCAGAGGTTGTCCAGGGATGTTGTGGAGTCTCTATCCTTGGACATATTCAAAAGCCATCTGGACCAGATCTCAGTGGCCTTGCTTTAGCATGGGTGTTGGACCAGATAACCTCCAGACCTGCAACCTCAACTATTCTGTGATTATGGGACCTTTTCCATTCCTCAGAGATAGCCCAGGTTTCTTCCAGCTGCAGCATCCCCCTTGGCCATAGCCCACCTCCCTACCTACCCTCCTGCCACTGAGAGCCAGGATTTTGGGGCTGACAGAGCAGAACTCACTCAGCAGGGAGGAGGGAGCAGAAAAGAATCCTAAAAAAGGGTCAACATGTTCAGTCAAGGTCAGTTTAATATGTCCAGACAAGTTTGAAACACCTTCAGTGGTTACACTTCTCCCTGTTTGCTATTGCTCTTTTTACCTAGTTGACAAACATCAGTTCATGTTACATGGAGTAGCAGACAGCTGGACTGATAGATAAATTTCTCACAAGGGAATACAACATGTGCATCAACAATTGCTAGTCTGAAGTTTTGGCTTCTTGAGTCCAGGTTTGCACTGCTTTGGTTTTGACTTGATCTGAGAACACTTCAAATTTATCAGGTTTTTTTCTGCTTCATGGCCCTGTGGGAACTATGCAGTGTGGAGGTGTTTGTGTAACCTTGGGCTCTACCTTGAACAGTTTGTTGCTCCCCCTTTTTTTCCACATAGAGAACATTTTTCATCAGATCAGTTTAATGAGTTATTATTATAGATAAATTGCTTTTATCACAAATTTAGACAGCTTCTTATCAGATATTTTAGTATAAAAGGAGTTCTTCATGGAAAAAATGCTACCACTTCATTAAAGATGCTTCAGTTTCTGCTTCTTCTTAGTTGCCTGGGTAAGTTGCAATTGAAATATTTGAGCTGGGAAAGGGTGAACCTCTCAACCTCTAAGAGGTGCAAATTAGAGCATAACATTTTTCTCTCTGCAGTTACTGTGCTAGGGCAAAACATAAAGTGGACACAATTATTCTGGTGGGAAGGGGTTTTCTCTATTGCAGGAACAAGATCTCCATAAGAAAAATCTGCTAGTTCTCTGAGGGCGGGGAAGGGAAACCTACACCCTAAAAGAAAGGGGATTTAGGTTGGTCCACAACCACCTGGCAGTTAGGATGGGGTGTATGGAGTACAGGGAACAAGTCAATTTATATGAAAGCTTTGCATCTTGAAACATTTTATGGTATTTTTCAACCATGGAGGCTTTAAAGAGCCTCCAGGATGGAGAGCAGTCACTGTGTCACCATGTGCGAGTGTCAGTCACTTGATCTTTCAGACCTGCTTAGCTGGCTGCCCTGCACAGCACAAGTCTGTTGCTGGCAGTAACCCGTGATGACTGATGCTGTTTAGAAATCCACATGACAAATTGCACTCCTTTTTTTGTGTGGTTAGGAGCAATCTCTGGAAGTCCCCTAAGGGAGACTCTTCAGGAGGATGTGCTGACGGGACGAATAATTGGAGGCCATGAGGCTGACCCACACAGCTGGAAGTGGCAGGTAAAGCTGGTGTCTTATACTTGAAAAAAGCCTTATACTTGAAAAAAACAGTGAGAAAATGACAGCTTCCACTGTCCAAAGCCACACACACTGTTTCTGCAGAGGCACAGCATGGCTTGGGTGTAAAATATGTTGTCGTTTGATCCAGGTATCGCTTCAGATTGCCTATCCTGACTACCCGGGGTACTACTCTCACATTTGCGGCGGAACCCTTATCACCGGCAAATGGGTCATGACTGCAGCCCATTGCTTCAGCATGTGAGTAGGATAAAAAGCATTAAAATTCTTGCTCTGCTCCCCATTTGTGCTGCAGACAGGAGCCAGACCCTTCTCACCCTCTGAGCCGTTCCTTGCACAGCTGGACGTCTTGCTGCACACTTAATCAAGGGAACTGGAAAACTCTGTTTGCCTTAGTTTTGATTTTACATATTAATTACTGACTTTCTGGGAGTGGAAATCAAGCTGATTGCTGATTTACATAAGAGGAGGTGCATTTGCATAAATGTGAGCATTTTGAAGGGGTTTGCATCCTGAGAAACCTGCAGAGATGGAGAGATTGAACAAAAGGCATGTTTCCTAGCTCACAGGCCATGTTGTACAATTTGCTCTGCATCATGTCTAACATGCACCACCTAAATGATACAACATGACACCAATAAGCGAACACTCCTTTTTAATTACTTATGCCTTTAGTGAATGTACTTACAATAAAGTGTAATATGCTGATCCTTCACACTCTGTTTCAGACAGATGCAGAGATGCAAAATGAAGGTTTTTGTTCAAGACCAACCTCAGCACTGTTAGCTGATGCTGCACCTTCACTTGTTTTGCCAGCAAACCACAGGCAGCATTTGCCTAATTCATAAGACCATTTAGCTACAGTCCATTGAAAATCTGCTGGTGGAAGGTGCTTTACAAATTATTACACTGGTGGAAGGTCTCAGTGGTACAGGAATTACACTACAAAGCTAGCTGTGGGGAGTGGTTTTTACATTTCATTTACATTACATTTACATTCATCACATATTCTGTGATTCATTTTCAGGCCAGAAGGATCAACCTACCGAGTGGTTCTGGGTGAGCATGATCTCTTGCAGGAGGATGGCACTGAGTACGCTATTGATGTGGATAAAGTCTTCATTAACGAAGGCTGGAATCCCAATAAAATTGCCAATGGGTAAGTATTTTGAATATCATCAGATGGTTGAATGGTGCTTAGCACCTTGTCCCACTAGCATTTATGTGTATATTCAGTCCAGTTTCCAGTGAGGTTGGATTTGTGGGAAGCACTGGAGGATGGTGCAATGGAGATTTCCCAAATGACCTCCTCTCTTGGAAGTGTTACATGGTGTCTTTGTGGATGATCTTAGTCCTGTTTTGCCCAAGATGGGGGAAGAATGGGCCTCACAGATGGATCCAGGTTGTACAGCAGATTCAGGAGCTTGCCAGCAGTCACAGCACTGTTTGCATCTGATGAAGGGAAGCCAACAAGGAAATGCCGACAGACTGTCTTAAACCACCCCTCAGAGGCATGCTTGTCAACCCAGGGTCCACTGAAATTCACTTTGAGGTTGGGTGCCTCCAAAGAAGTGAAGATTTGGGGGTGTGGGGGGTGTTGGGGGTGTGTGTGGGGGTGTTAGTCCTTTATCAGTCTGTACCATGACCTCTTCTTTCTTAGTTATTCATATTTTCCTGTTGCCTGTGATATCTATAAGGATTAATTAATGATGTTTGCAAGGTGCTACTTTATCATCATGCCAGAGGCTAGAGACCTGTATAAGTGATAAAATGTGAGTGAGGACATATGGCTTATGATAATTCAGGATTTTCAGTAAAGAGTCTTTTACCTGTACCCCATTTCAGCTATGACATTGCCCTGCTGCGCCTCAGTTCTCCTGCCTACGACAATGGGTTTGTTGAGCTGGGACTGCTTCCATCTGAAGGAGACATTTTGCCCAATGACTATCCTTGCTATATTACTGGATGGGGTGCAACTAGTGGTAAGTAAGGGTGAAGGAGGAGTGTTGAGGGTCCCTCCTGGTTTCAGAGGGACCTCTGTGCAGGTAAGGCTGAACAAGGTAGGGTGTGGGCTTCCTTCCTCAACTGCTGGAGCTTCTGAACCAAAACCTTACCCTTTCTTTGCCAGTGGATGGCAGTGTCCCAGACAGACTGCAGGAGGTGATGATGCCAATTGTTGACCATCAGATCTGCTCCCAGGATGACTGGTGGGGATCTCAAGCAAAAGTCACTATGATCTGTGCAGGTGGAGACGGCGTGAGGGCTGGATGCAGTGTAAGATCTGTTATTATAAGAGGATTTTCAAGACCTTGCTGTTCCTTCAGCTGGGACCTGGTTTTGCCATTTCTTCACCTGCAATAGCTCTGCTGTAAATCCTGGCCCCTTTGCTGCTTTCTGCTGAATATCTTCTAAACCAGACTGCTCCACATTCCTCCAGGTCCCCACAGAGCAGCCAGCAGAGAGAAAACCTCCAAATCCTCAGGGTGTATCTCTCCCCTCTGATTTTGGAGGGGAGATTTGCCCTTTATTCCAGCAGCATGTCCCATTGACCAGCTCCGGGGGACTATGTTGAGACTTTATCAGTCCCCTCTGCCCTTATCCAAAGGATGAAGCTGCAGGGTAGTCTTACCACTCCTCCAATGTTGCTGTCATGTTGCACCCCAGACCAGGCAGTGCTTCCTGCTGCTTGTCATCCCTCTCCTCCCCAGACACTTACATGGACAGCTGAGGTTGCTGCAAGTATTGGCTATATCCAGCTACACTGTCTAGCCCAGGTTAGGTGGAAAAGGAAGATACTGTGAGGTTCCCTTTATCCCAGGGACTCCAGGTGGCCCCAGGTGGTAAGGAGGTTTGGCATGTGAAGGCAGGCGATACCTGTTACCTCTGCCCATATTCCCTTCCCTACAGAGGTGGGTTCCGGTGAAAGTAAACATGCAGAGCCCTGAAAAAAAATAATGGACAAATATGTAACATATTTGATTATGTAAATATATGAATATAGTAAAATATAGAAATAAAACAGGTTATATAATTATACATAGCAAAATTATAGGTATAGTATAATTATAAATCTATTGATATTTAGTTTATTTTTTGGTGTGGTTTAATTATGGCAGAACCTTGTTACAAACTGGGTTCTGAGCCAAGCAAGAGCCTTTATCTTCTCATATATTTTAACTCAAATTGCTTTCTTTTTCACCACCTTAACTTCCTGGGACCCTTTGAGCACACTTGTTTGCAAAGCACAGGGGGAGCAGCATTTCCCTTCTACCTGGTTCCTTGTAGCTGCAGAGTGCACTGATATTTTAATGGAGATGCTGCGCAGGTGGACCTTGTTGGGGAGGATTACATGTGATGCAATGTGCCCTGGACCATTTCTTACAGTCACTATATTTGCAGTGGTGGTGGTAAATGAGAGTTTCAGCCCTTCCTCAGATGTGTATGTATATGTGTGTGTGTGTCTGTGCATGTAGACTAAGATAACAAATAGTCTGATCTTTGCAACACCTTGGTAGGTGCTGGGTAGTCTCTGCTCCCATGCTGCTGGAGAGCAGCCAGCCCTTTGCTAAGTAAGCAGCACAAATTTTTACTTTCATGTTCAGAACAGTGATTAACTAACAAGTGCTGCTTAGTCCTATCCAGTCATTCCTCAATTGCTCAGATAATTTGGCTTAATATGTTCCTCTCCTTCCTCTGATCCAGGGGGACTCTGGGGGCCCTCTCAACTGCTACAAAGACGGTCACTGGCAAGTCCATGGGATTGTCAGTTTTGGGCTAGTTCCTTACTGTAATACCTACAAGAAGCCAACAGTCTTCACACGTGTATCAGCCTACGTGGACTGGATCCGCAATGTAAGTTGCTTAGCACCTGCAAGGTAACCTGACGCATCTTCTGTGAAGGCAAGGGAGTGCCAGAGTCATTGGAGTTTAATTTTTTAATAGTTTATTTTTTTAAACTATTAAGAACTGAACTGGGGGATCTAGGGAGATCTAAAATCAGGATATTTAGTGCTACTTTTGGTGTCATCAAACAGTTTTAAAGAAGGAGATGCTGTCTTATAGTCTGAAATGTTCTGCTGAGGACCACAGAAAAAACTCAAGCCAGGCAGGAGCTGGGCTTTGTGTCCAAAAAATGACCATACTCCAGGAAACCACTGAGGAATTAGCTAGCTGGTGAATGGAAGATGCAGTAGACATAAAACATCTCTGCAAGTGCAAGTCCTGCAGTGCCGCACTGTGCACTTTCAGCTTTACATTTGACAAAGAGCAATGAGCTCTTTGCTCACAGAAATAATGTCTGGCACAAGAAACAGCTGTTTCCCAGGCACAGGTGGTGGTTCTGTAGAAATGCCACTGTAAACCATGGGACCTGCTGGAAAGAAAGGTGGGGAGGGATATTTTAAATCACTGCACGTAAAAGGGAGGCTACTGTGGTCCATAAACCTTTCTGGGTGGGAACATGTCACTGGAGCAGTCCCCTGTCCCAGCTGGGAACAAACCCTGCTTCAGAGCCCTTACACGTGATGGAGACATGCATTATTCTGGCTCTGTACTGAATTCACTTCTCTTTTGTTTTCCAGATTATAGCAAATAATGGGGGTTTCTAGAGAAGGATTGTCTGGTGCATGAATATGAGAAGAGCTAGAATTAAGTATTTCTGCTCATTAACTCCTCTCATCCCTTCTACACCTCTTTGGGCTATTGATAGAAAAAAATGGCTAAGAGTATAATAAACTATCAGTGATTACAACCAGTGACCTGTTGCTGTGTTTGCTTGGCCTTAGGCACAGGTTCAGACCCAGTCAGCAGGGAAGGAGGTTCCAGCAAATGCTGCAGCCTGTAATGACAATATAAACCGATGACAGTGTTCTTAACGTGGGGCTGGGCTGTGGGCAGCAAGCACGGCTCTTTAGGGCTTTCATTTTAACACCAAACCCACCCTGCAGAAAATGACCATGATGAGTTTTTTTGGCTGAAGGATTCCATAAGGATAACCCCACCAGTGGCAAATGTGGTCAGCTTGGTGCTTGCAGGTTGGTGGGAGCAGAGCAATGGTGTGATGCTGCTGGGCACAGGTATAAACTGGGAGAGGAGTGGCTGGGGAGCAGCCCTGCAGAAAGGGCTCTGGGGGTGCTGGTCAGCAGCAGGGTCAGTAGGAGTCAGCAGCCTGCCCTGGCAGCCAAGAGGGCAAACCACATCCTGGAGTGCATCAAACACAGCATGACCATCTGGTCAAAAGAGATGATTATCCCACTGTATTCAGAGCTGGTGCTAACTCACCTTGTATACTGTGCACAGTTCTGGGCCCCACAACTTAAGAAGGGTGTTAAGGTCCTTGATGAGTCCAGAAGAGGGTGACAAAGCTGGTCAAAGGGCAGGAAGGAGTATCCTAAGAGGAGCTTCTAAGGACTTTGGGTTTGTCTAGTTTGGAAAAAAGGAGGCTGAAGGGAGACCTCACTGCTCTCTACAGCTTCCTGAGGAGGGGAAGTGGAGAGGGAGGTGCTGAGCTCTTCTCCCTGGTACCCAGTGCCAGGACGCATGGGAATGGTTCAAAGCTGCACCAAGAGAGGCGGCCGACTGGACATTAGGAAGCATTTCTTTACCAAGAGGGTGGTCAAACACTGGAACAGGCTTCCTAGAGAGGTGACTGATGCCCCAAGCCTGTCAGTGTTTAAGAGGCACTTGGACAGTGCCCTTAACAACATGCTTTAACTTCTGGTCAGCCCTGAAATGGTCAGGAAACTGGACTAGATGATCATTGTAGGTCCCTTCCAACTGAAATTATTCTATTCTATTCTATTCTATTCTATTCTATTCTATTCTATTCTATTCTATTCTATTCTATTCTATTCTATTCTATTCTATTCTATGCTATGCTATGCTATGCTATGCTATGCTATGCTATCCTATTCTATTCTATTCTATTCTATTCTATTCTATTCTATTCTATTCTATTCTATTCTATTCTATTCTATTCTATTCTATTCTATTCTATTCTATTCTATTCTATTCTATTCTATTCTATTCTATTCTATTCTATTCTATTCTATTCTATTCTATTCTATTCTATTCTATTCTATTCTATTCTATTCTATTCTATTCTATTCTATTCTATTCTATTCTATTCTATTCTATTCTATTCTATTCTATTCTATTCTATTCTATTCTATTCTATTCTATTCTATTCTATTCTATTCTATTCTATTCTATTCTATTCTATTCTATTCTATTCTATTCTATTCTATTCTATTCTATTCTATTCTATTCTATTCTATTCTATTCTATTCTATTCTATTCTATTCTATTCTATTCTATTCTATTCTATTCTATTCTATTCTATTCTATTCTATTCTATTCTATTCTATTCTATTCTATTCTATTCTATTCTATTCTATTCTATTCTATTCTATTCTATTCTATTCTATTCTATTCTATTCTATTCTATTCTATTCTATTCTATTCTATTCTATTCTATTCTATTCTATTCTATTCTATTCTGCAGCTGGCAGATTTTTTGGCTTGCAGAACTGGATTCTCTTTATATTCCTAAACAAACAGCTTCAATACAGCACTCTTATACAGAGGGCAACTGCCTCAAGTATACAGGCAAGCTCAACTGATGGAAAGTACAATCCATCTTATTCTTAAATTCACTCTGTACAGGATGGGGTTTTTTAAATGCATTGTATAAGACTAAGTTCATAGAAAAGGGAGTTTCTGGGGTGCTTTTCTAGTGAGGAAGCAATAAATTCGGTGTAAAATAATCTCCTGTGCCATTAGGCATGCAGGGACCTGTACCCCATCCAGCCAGGCAAGCCTATCTGCAGTGTCAAACTTTTCTAAATAAAAGCCGTGTTCCTACTAAACACACAGCAGGGTAAGTAAAGGGAGGGAATGAGGAAGAGAGGGAGATGTACAAGCACAATAAAGCAAGATTTGTCTTTTCATGAACTACAAAACCATCTTCTAGGAATGCACGGAGAATCCCACAACCTTCCCTCTCCTCCTTTTGCTGTATATAAGATGAGCATTTATGAATGAAGGATTTTGATTTGGCTCTTTTTCCATTTTAAACTACTTATGTCCCATCGCTCCTAAAGTCTGCACACACCTAGGGCATAGCAGTATTTTTTGCAAAACCCTTTTTTAGGAATGCACATTTCTTCTCTCGAAAAGCCACTAGAGGGCGTTGGCAAACCAAAGGAATATCCAATCCGGTTATCACTGACTGCTAAAGAAGTTTTGTGGCCAAGAATGTTAAAATGGCATGTACACAGCCTTGCACTCTGTCCTTCGTGTTTGCTTGCAGACACACAGATAAGCAATGACACACAGGAGCTGCTTTTCGCTGCCGTTATCCAGAGGTCTGACTTGCAAACAGATAAATCTCCCTTATTACGGCAAGCACAAATGAAAACGAAACCAGTGGTGCTTTCTTTAAGGCTTGTAAAGGAGTGGAGTCCCAGCTGTATTTTTAGCTCTCTGCTTTATTGAACTGCACTTGGCAATGTCTCCTGGGTGTTCAGTAGTTTGGCAATTCTCTTCTGACAAGTTAAAAAACCCCTGTATCTCAGCTTTCCTGCCCCTTAATATTACTGAATGGTTCTTGCTCATTTTAAGACAGCATGTGTGATTTCTGCTGCTATATGAAGTTCAAATATTTAACTTCTCCTGAAAGAGCCTGGATCTGTTAGGCTCACTGATGGAGTAATGTCCCTTATAAGAGCACTTAGCAGCCAAGTGATGGGAACATGCTGGCATCTGAGATCTTGGCCTGACTACATTCAAGTTTTCCCTTTGAGTTTCAGAAGGAATTAAAAACACATAGATCAAAGGTTTTGGGAAATTAGATTTTTTAAGGGAGTCCCTCAGAAAGTACTCAGATGCTGAGAAGTGAAGTATTAGAGTGCCTGGTGGTTTTGCAGTGTCTGATGCCTGGGCTGGGGGTTTAAACCCTGTGTGCTTAGTTCATGGGCCACGGGGGGATTTGGGGATGTCTCATGGAGTCCCAAATTCTCATCAGTCTCCATCCCTGGCCTGGGCTGAGCAGAACTGGGAACTGTTGGGGACATTCCTGCTCCCTGGGCCAAAAGCACTCCTGGGACCATGCTTGTTAGCAATTTAATGAGTATGCATTGTCACAACCCAAAACACCTCAGCCATTCCCTGTTCATCCCCTGATGTGATAGCAGTGATAGGCTGTACCTGCCCAAAACTATGCAACTGCCCTGGTCTCCACGGGGCAGCTGTGACCATTGGGTGCTTGAAACCTCTTGTCACAAGCTGCTCTGAAAGCCAGGCTGGACATTACTCCTTTAAATTCTTCCTCCACATGAGCAAGACCTGGACCTATTGCTGCAACAGCCAAGAGGAGAAGCCTCAAGCTGCACTGGCAGGAGCAGGAGAATCAGGTGCTGGAGTCGTACAGCTCTAATTCAGGGTCATTATCACGTCCCCAGTGCCAAGAGGAGTGTTTCTTTCCATGTTTTGATGACAGGAACAGCTTGTGCTTCTCAGCCATGATTTATTGCGTAGGATAAGAGAGAGACGATAGCCTGGCAGCACGTGGACAGGGTACATGTGTTTCTCCTATGCCTCATTTACCTCTTTCTATCCAAGGGCCATGCTAGAGCTACTTGCTCCCCAGAGCTGCTGTGCAAAGCTGTGATCCCAGGAGCACACCTCAGGAAGCCTATGGAAAATGCAGTGTTTCATGCAGGTTTTACTGTGTGAAGATACTAGGGGTCACAGTGATATAACATCCAATGGTATCCATTGAGAAAACATGGCTGGGCACAGTACTATAATGCTCATACGTAATGGTCCCACCCTTTTCTCCAAAGCTGGGTGGTGAGGATGCAGCTAAAACAGGGAACAAATTATATTTTGAAAAACTCCCCAACTGACCCCTACATCTTTATGGGGCACAGAAAAAGGAGCTGTGGCAAAAGGACACATCTCTTGGGGGTGGTCCCACCAGGTGTAGGGTGCTTCAGTGAGGTGTAGGAATGGCTACGACACCTTGAACTATTTGGGGAGGTAAGGCTGTAGATACTGTGAAACACAGCTTGGGGGTGCAGGGATCAAATACAGTGGTCAGTGCCATTAGGGATTTTTGAGGACATCCCATCCTGAGTCAAAGAGGCAGAGCTCTCCTGAAGTTCCTTGTCATCTCCACCAGCCCCATGGGGATGTCTTCATACCCTTGAGCATCTCAGCTGTCCCAAAACACAACAAAGCTGGGGAGCTTTAAAGTCACACAGGTAGAAGTTCAGCAATGGGACCTTCAGACACACCACAGCTGAATAGAGATGTTCTGGTTATAGACATCTCCTCATCCAAATAGTACTCTGAGCTGCTATACTTTATCAGCATAACCCCCAAAATCTCTAGTTGAAATTATATCACTACTTCACCCAATCATTCCTTGTTCACCTGCAGACAAAAATGATGGCTATTTGGGAGTATGACTACAATGGTCTCTCTTGCTTCCTGACAGCTATTCAACCTTAATTACCAGAAAGCCCTTTGGGATGTTTCCACTATGAAAACCACTTCAGGACCACTAAGTTCTCATCCCTATTTATTTCAAAGTAGTACCCAAGTATTTATTTCCAGGGAAGTGTAATAGATAACAGTTTCCTATGCAGGTTATCTCAGTGGAGCAGGTTTATTTTGCAGGGAGATCCTTTTAT